TTCTTATTAAAACTTTGGAATGTATTAATTTTGGAAACCTCAGACTGAATTAATCGATTGTTTCTGATGATATTCTGATATTGCTTCAGGCGACTGCTGTTGGATCACATCCGGAAACATTATCATCAAACAGTGCTCATCACTCGAAAAGTCATCACGATGGTAATAGAGTGGCGGCGCATCAATCACATTCGGTTCATGACAAGCATTCGGCTACAACTGGGCATGGAAACCGTCGTTCAATAGTGAATATTTATTATTTGTTCATTTTTTCAAGAAGCAGTCGGAAAATTAAGCTCAGATCAGTGTGTTGAGTGTGGCTTTTTGAATGTAGAAATTGATGAATGTCTTTTCTTAATTACTGATAATTTGCGTCCACAATTGTGCTGAGACGCTACGGTCAACGCAACTGAAATTGCAGGATGAATTGGCACGATCCCGTCGACGAACGACGAAAACTGAAGACGTTACGAACGGTGGTTATCGACCAACGCCAATCTCTGATCTACCACCGCGTTCCGATGCTTTGCTCGGCATTCCGGTCATACAGTTTGAGGTGCGAGTTGCTCTCTTGAAACTATTTACACTAACGGTTGAATTGTCTGGAGTTAGAGTTAAAGCGTTATGAGTTATTTTGAAGAGAGTTAGAGTTATTTTGAAGATATCTCTTTGTATTGTTGATGTGTCTTTGATAATTTTATATCTCGCAATCAGCAAACTTCCAACTTACAGTTTGATTTAGCCTTTATGATTGTTTGATGAATATGAAATTTTGCTGAACATAAAGTATTTACGTATTTGTGATTTACAGCGTGATCCATCTGTGACCGGTATTCTCAAACGACGTCACGCCATTGCTCAACAGCAGCAGCACGCCTCATCCACTTCACTGTCGTCCGATTCTCCAGGAACCCCGAATACTCAGCTAGTCGATGAGAGACTGAATGCGGAAAATTCATCTCGGCAGCTAACTTCTACGCCGCCGCAGCCTTCAACTTCAACAACCAAAGAACCACTGGCGGCTTCGAGTCACCACCACTCAATACACGATTCATCTATCGTTCAGAAATCGCAAGCTGGAGGAGCTGATGGAAGCATCCCGACAACATCGACGTCAACAATGAGTAGTGCACTGCCATCATCGTCATCAGCTGGTTAGTTGAATGAATTTGTGTTTTTTTTTCTCACGTATTCGCGGGTACAGCGAATGGTTTGAATGAAGGATTCATTGGTCACCAATGAAGAAAAATAATTTTTGCCACAATTGATCATCATTATTACAAGTATATTTCGATCGGTTGAGTAGCATTCCGGTGAGATTTGAGACTTTGAATACGTGTTCAATTGTGTAATGTGTAATGTTGGTTTGATTTGTTTTAGATAGCGAACGTGAATCGTTTTCAGAAACTGGTGCAACAGCAGCAAAAACGAATCTGGAACGTGGTGGTCGGCGTCTTTGCGATGCAACTGAGCAATTTCCGATGGCACCACCGAAATTAGTTGAGCCCAAACTGATTACACCGCTGATTGAACCTAAACCAATAGCCAAGGTAAGTGTTCAGGTTTGGAGATCATTCACGATTCTAACGATAAACATTTTTAGAAACTTTCATCTTCAGCGTTATAGACTTTCGTTGAAACGATCCAGATTTTGATGGAAAAAAAAATTTGCTATTCAGATCTTAACATTTTCTTCATCATTTAATTTCTAGCAGTGAGAGGCTTGAAGGGTTGTGG